TCATGGAGAAGTCAGAGTAGAGGGAGCTTCACTAAATTTAATCCAGTGTTGTGGTCTTTCTGTGCTGAAGTGTTGATGGTGTTAGGGGGGTCTTATCAGAAGAAAGGATTTGTGTTGGGGTGGTAGAATTCCTAAACAGATGAATACAAGGACTAACACATGATGTTAAAAATAATTTTTCATTATATCTTCCTAAAATTTGCAAATTCTTCCAACAAAGTAGCACATGGGGGAAAGAACACAGGAATTATACTAGTAGGTGCTTCTGTCTTAAACCCAGTGCCTTTAAAAGCTCATCTACTGCCCATGCCTGAGGCAGTGAGTGCTCTATAAAAAGCTTCTACAGGGCTGTTCCCAAGCTGGCCTCCTCCTAGGATTTTCTCCTTTCTCTGTTTCTTCACAGTATTGATGCTCCTCTTTTTCTGAAATCTGAGACTGGGACTGTCATTTTGCTTTTGTTATTATCCTAGAGGCCAATGGCTTCAGATTATCCTCCATCATGCTGCAGGCTCTTCACTCTAGCCAAGACTGGCTATTCTTGTGAAACAAAAGGCCTATAAAACAATGGACATTCAAGAAACTGACTATTTTGGCATGTTATAAACTTTATTCATGTTCTTTAACTGAAGAATTCCCCTACTGAAACCAGTACCAAGCTGCTCTTGGAATGTAGGGAGGCCTCTGAAATATGGAATATTCTAGAGAGCTGTATTTTGGACATTTAACCTATTCTTTAATAGGTTTGCTTAAGGCCCAACACTGAAACCCATTAAGTCTGCTATGTCCATGGGGTCAGTCACATATAGCTATCTGTGGTTCTATAGGCTTGTCCCTTCTGAAACTCATGTGGAAATTTGATTGCTAATGTAATGGTACAGAGAAGTGGAAGGACCTTGAAGAGATGTTTGGGTCATGGGGACAGAGCCTTCATGAATGAATTAATGCTGTTCCCATGAGAGTGAGCAGGCTATTGCGGGAAGGGGGTTGTTATAGAGTCCACTCTCATGATTTTTATCTCACAGGCATTCACTTAACCACATTTTTTTCCATTATGAGATGAAGTAGCTTGAGATCTTCACTAGATACCAGAATCATGAGCTTGGACTACTCAGCATCCAGAATGATGAGCTAAATAAATTTCTTTCCTTTATAAATTACCCAGACTCAGGTATTCTGTTATGGCATCAGAAAACACAGCCTCAGAAAAGGAAAAAAATCTCTTTGGTGCCCCTGGCCTTCCTTCCTTCAGAAGTCAGCTGTGCTTCCTGCTGATTCCCCACAGGAATGTCAGTGCCTGAATCCTTCAGCCATCACCTGAAATGTTAAGTTCTCCTGACAGTCCAAGAAAGCCGCCATCACTGGAGCTCTAGAGCCTGTGCTGGATCATGAGAAATAAGAAAGCTGAGCTTTTCAGATAAACCTTGCTTTTTACAAGCCCCTTACTTTTAGTGCATAATTATTTTGAATTCACCGATAATTTGTATAATTTTCCTGTAAGTCATTCACACATAGTTCTCTAACATGAAACACTTAGCTTTGCTAAGACATGTATATTAATGAGAACTGTGCTTCTCAAGTGTAAATGTTTTATATGTGTTAAGGCTTTTGGCTTATATGTGAAGGGGCATTGCAAAATATAATCTAGAAATCTTTTCTTCTTAACTCTCATATGTAAAGAATTCTGTGGATTGGCTGAGAAACATTGATCTGTCAATTTCCATGCCGACTTATAACAAGGAAATCATTAGCTAAGGAAAATAAAAATATAATCTATGCAAGTAAAAGAACAGGCTAGTTTTGCCCAATATGAAACTAAGATAAAAGGAACCGTGAGAAACAAAATATTTCTTTAATCAGGTCATTGTGATTCTACTAAAAAGTATTATTTTTTCTTTATGATGAGAATTATCTTGATTCAAATGGGCAATATTGATCTCTTTGACCATTGTACCTATGCAGAAGCAGAAAGGTAGCTTTGCCATAAAATCTCTCCTGGCACAGGCACTGAGATAAGTGTCAAGGGCTTTCTTTTAAAAACCACTCTGGATTGTATTTTGGTCTTTTAGTGATCCGAAGGAAATAAATCAGATGTCTCTTTGAGAACACTTCTTCTATCCTGGGGATGTCATTCCACCAGGGGTTTATGTAGTAGTTACCTTTTAAATTCATTAAATGCTATCCCAGGGCCCAACATAGTAATTGTTCCCTCATTTGTGATCCATTTAGCTACAGAGAATTAAATATTCAACTTCTTGCCTTCCAGGATAAACTCATTCTTACCCAAAGCTCTTCCAGAAAGGAACTTAGATTCTTTGAAGAACTCCCCTGCTTGTACCTAGAGCCATTCAATTGTTAATTATACCCACAGACTCTGGGAGCCCTGCAAGGGCAAAGGAGCTATATCCGCTGCATTTTCAGAGCAGGAGAAAAAGCATTTGCTGCATCTGACCTCATAAAGGCTCATTAATGATCTATGACTGTGAAGACCTTCTGTAGGTTACTCAGTTAAACACACACACATGCATACACACACACACACATATGCATAACACACACACAAATGTACATACAACACACAACATTACCCCAACATAACTGTGATGTCAGTTGCACACTGCACTAGCTGTTTCCCTAGAATGTTTTATCCAGCATCCTCTAGTGAATGCAAAGGACTTAGGTTGGGAAAGTGCATTAGCTTTTGATTAATGGTTGGATGAGGGCCAGTTAAATTTTTAAATCTGAATGAGCTTGCTGACTCAGGCTCCTTAGCAGCATAATGGACAGCCAGTCCTCAAAGCTTTCATTAAAAGGGGTTCTGGTAACCGATGTCTAGAGAAATGAGTTGACATACAATTCACCGAACTACTCAGCTTTCATCTAAAATGGAATATGTAATCTCAGAATTCACCTGGTCTCTTGAAATTTTCAGGTAAAATTAAATTTGAAGAAGCTGGAGCTTAAATATTCTGAAGATAGGAAGCCTCCAGTAGCTTTGTGACTGTATCCCTCTGAAGCCTGTATTTAATTATGTTTATTGCATTTTAAGTGCAGCTGGAGTCACTGATCTGCTGATACAAAGTCTGGAATGGTTTGTGGGAGGTTCTCAGGATGTATCAGAGACTGATTGGATTTGAATTTTATTTTTAACTGTGGGTCCTCTGAATTCTGCCTTTTCATTTTTATCTTTTTTCTCCCTTACTAATAGGAACAAACTGACTTTGCAGACATCTTCCTAGGAAACCTGGCTGGAGAAAGGCCACTGAAGCTACCCTGACCTCAATGGCATTTTCATCTGTCAGAATTGATGACTCTCACTCAGCCTTTAGGCTGCAGCCTGAGATGTGTCCGACACCCCTTTGCAGTGACCTTAGAGGTGACCCCTCTCCCTCTTCTGTGTCTCAGGAAAAATATGAATGATATAGTCTTTCTTTCCCAGTCCAGTAATATTTTATAAGGATTTACAAAATTGTTCAGTACTTCCAAAAGCTACTTACAGCAACCATAGCTAATTTGAAAATGGCTGAGTTCTTTGCAGTCATCTCTGAGTTGAATGAAGACAGTCATTCAACTGTCTTCCCCACCTTATCTTCCAAGTTCACAAAGACCACTGTCCTTTCTTGAAGCCAGCCCTAGCAGCCATATATGTACTATGTCCATGGTTCTTTTGTAGGCAATCAATAGCTGATTGGAACAGTGACAGGCAATTGCTGCAAGTAAAGCCAATCAAATCCATTCTCTCTCTCTCCTTCTCACTATGCCTAGAGAGAATGAAGAAGCAGATATGGACTTAGAGGAGGCTGATACCTTTCTAGTAGATTCCAATCAGTTTAGAAGCCGAGGTACATTCCTCTCTGCATCATGATCTTCTTTTACAAATCCGTAATCTCTTTCCATCTTCTTGGTATGTTAGCTTAAATTGTTTTATGCTCCTGAAACCTAGGGTTCTAAATGATGATACAAAATTTCTGTTGTGCAAAAGTATATGCCAGGGGCCGTGGCGGGGGGGGGGGGGAGGAAATGGGGACTTGGTGCTTAATGGTTATAGTTTAAACTTTGCAAGATGAAAAGATTGTGGGTTTTGGTTGCATAGCGACATGAGTAAACTTACCGCAAGTGAACTGCATGCGTCAAAATGGATGTGATGATAAATTTCATGTTACACAAATTTTACTAAGATTTTTAAAAATAGTTTAAAAATGTCTGTTTTGGACAGCTTGCTTTTCTTCTCTAATACTACAGCCTGTTCAGGTCTCTGTTGCCCCCTATATGAGCCATTGTAGTCACCAAATTCATCTCCCACTTCTACTCCCTTGGAAGCTGGTCCCCAGGATTCTACCTTGTATGCATGGAGCAGCTGATATTCCTGAACTTGGCTGCTCTCCAATGTACAAACCTTCGTGGCCACCCACTGAATCCAGGATCAAGTTAATGCTCCCTAGCCTATAAAAGGTACCCAACAGACCTTTCCCATGTTCTAATCTACAGATTCCCAGGAAGAAGCAAAACCTAGGCAGGCTGGCCTCTCTCATCCCCAGAACAAAACTTACTCATTCTGGTTCCCCATCCCTATTTGAAAGTCCAGCTTCAGGCCCATCAATTCCATGGAACATTTTCTGACCATTTTAGTCCTCCAGGGACATTTATTGTTGTTGTTGTTGCTGTAGCTGTTGTTGTTAGATTTGAGATACTGGAAATGGAGCCCAGGGTTGCTCTACCACTGAGCTATATCCCCAGCCCATTCTATTTAAATTTTAAGGCAGAGTGCTGATCAGTTGCCTCAAACTTGCCATCCTCCTGCCTCATCCTCTCTAGTTGCTGGGATCATGGGTGAGTGCCATCATACCCTGTGACATTTATTATTTTAATCATACTTTTTAGTGTTTATAATAAACAGCTTCCTATGAATCTATCTTGTTCCTCTGCTAATTTACTTATTTCCCGATGATAGAGATTAGATTAGGCCTTATAATCTTTGATTATTCCTATATGCTGTGTTCCAGGTAGGCTTTTAATGTTGGCTGAATGAAATCAGAAATGAAGAAGAGCTGCCTTACGAGCTTGCCGCTTCAGGACAAACATTTGCAGAGATGTAGTAGAAACATTAAACACATCGCATTTTCCAGGTACCATGTTAGGGTTTTCACATGGATTGTATACGCATTTAATCATTCCAACATCCTATTTAAATAGAGATGATTATTATCCTCATTTTATAGATGAGAAAATGCAGACACACACAGTTAAATAACTTGCCCAAGATCATGTCCATTGGTAGGAGGCACGGTCATGGTTCTGAGCTAAATCTGTTAGGCTCCTGAACCATGCTGCTGCTTCTCTCCCCTGTGTAGGCTCTGTTATTAATGCTGTCTTTTTTTGCCTGTCCTTCCAGTGAATTATAACCTCCCCAAAGGCAGGAATCTTCTCTCAATATGTCATAGAGGCTCACTGAAGACAGGAGAGCGGGAGGAAGGATGGAAGCAGAGAGGAATAGGAGGCAAGAAACTCTGTGTGTGGTGCTTGCGCAGCTCCTGAATTTGGCAAGAATCAGTATTGCAAGGGGCTTGACCAGAAAACACCGGCTCACCTTTCTGGGTCACATCCCCGACAACCTTGGTCCCTTTTCTGAGGTGATTCAGTCACATATTCACTATATGGATAGGAGTTCATGGTGAATATTGTCTTGCCCCCCTCTCTTTTGGCCAGTGTTCCTGGGCATTCAGCCTGCTTCTCACTTGTTTTGAGCAGATGGTACATGGCCTTCCTTTTTGCTTAGCAAATGCTGAACTATGGCCTCTCTTAATCATTAAGTCCCCAGATAAAAAGCAAAACATGAGGCTCATAGGTAAGGAAACTGAGATGTTGTGGTAAGAAAACTCAACCCAAGAGACAGTCCCAGGTGGGTGATATAGGGCACATCTATAATCCAAGCTACTGGGGAGGCTAAGGCAGGAGGATCACAAGTTGAAGGCCAGCCTGGGCAACTTAGCAAGACCCTGTTTCAAAACAAAATTAAAAAGGCTCATGATGTAGCTCACGATGAGTTTTCTTACCACAACATCTCAGTTTCCTTACCTATGAAATGGGACTATTAGAATTGTTATCAGAAATAAAAGATTTTATGTATATAATGTGCTTAGCATAGTACTTGCTACTCAATAAAGAGTAGCTGTTGTTGTTGGTGGTGGTGATGCATAGCATCCTGGGAGAAGTAGCATATTAAGCCAGGCTCTGTCATGCTTCATATGTCAAGCTTCCAAACCCTTTCAATGGTGTTTTCCAAGAGGATGGTTGACCAAGATGAGGAATATGTAGAGACAGTTTATTACAGATTGTGGTCTGAAAATCAGGAATAGCGTGTATCCAGGTTCTGTGTGAGGAAACAAGAGAGAACTAAGAACTTGGTGTAAAAGGGATAGAAAGGAAATTCATTCTAGTTGAAGCCATAAGAGATTTTATTAGAGGGTACCAAGGAGTTACCAGGGGCAGGTCTTTCCTCTTGGTTCCAATTCTGAATTCTGCATGGCTTTATTTCCTTTTTCTTCAGGCAGACTTTCTCTCCACAGTTGTGATGATAACTAACAATGTCCCTTAAGTTTCATCTTTCCAGCTTTGTGAGCAAAAAATGCAAGGCTGTTTCTCTTCCAGTATATATATATATCAATCCCAGGACAAAACAAAACAGTTATTGAGTAGGCCTGGACTGCAAGTTCAACCTCAGAGAAATCACTTGAAGTAGGGGACTTCAGAATCACAATCTGTAGTTCCACAAGACTCACAAAAATGGAGCAAAGAAGGAACTAGTCAAACAGAAAACAAATATGTCCAATGACCTTAGAGGGTGTGGGTCTAGGAAACCCTGCATGCATTCAGAGCCAAGATGGACCTGAAAATTTTCCTTGAGGCAGATGAAAACCCACATTCTCCTAGCAAAAAAAAATTTTCCATTCTCTTTGTGAGGAGTTTCCATGGAGAGGCTAGCTTCGTGGGTGAGAGTGGGCAGCAACCAGTTCCTGCTGCTTCTCACTGGGGCCCATCCTTCCTGCTGTTCAGTCCTGTTCTGCCCACAGCTCACATAGTATTTCTTACTCTTATGGCCTGGGGGCTTTTTCTTTGCCTGATGCTCATAGTCCCCTCACTAAAAGCTACTGCCTTAAGAGGGAGATAAGCCAAGTGAGCTGGTTTGATTATGTATTGATTTAACTCATAATCCTATACCTGGAAAAGAAAATGTCAGACACACTATAATAGCTTCAAATATAAATATGGAGTCAAAAGACCTCTTCAGCAAACGTTGGGCTTCCTTGTCAACCTCAGAGAAACAGAACGGACTCTACTGGGCAAGGAAAGAATACAGTGAAGAACAGCATCCATATGGCGATGTCATTCTCATCTGGGAAGACCATGGCAGCAGGGAAAGGGGAAGGTGACATCAAGTCTTCAAAACAGTGTCTATATGTTTAGGGCTAAAGTTGGAGTAATGAAAGAAAACAGATCACAATTTGAGCATCCCTTATCTGAAATGCCTGGGACCAGAAGTGTTCTGCCTTGCAGATTTTGCATATATATGAGGTATCTTGGGGATGGGACCCAAGCTCAAAATTTATTTATGTTTCATATGTGTCTTATACACATAGCCTGAAAGTAATTTTTTAAAAAACATTTTTAGTTGTAGATGGACATAATACCTTTATTTTGTTTATTTAGGTTTTTGTTTTGTTGTGTTTTGTTTTTTTTATGTGGTGCTAGAGACCAAACCCAGTGCCTCAGGTATGCCAGGCAAGTGCTCTACCACTGAGCTACAACTCCATCCCCGAAGGTAATTTTATACAACATTTTTACTTCATCTGTATTTTGATTGTGAAATTCAGGTATGGAATTTTCTACTTGTGGTTATTCAAGGACTCAAAAATTTTTGAATTTTGGAGCACTTCAGATTCCATATTTTCAGATTATGGTTGCTCAACTTGTACTTGTATAATGTTTTTGGCTACCTGGCTAGACCTGTGTGTGAGATGGCCTTCTTACCTTAGAGACATTGGACATTGTCCTTTGCTGTTTGTCAAGGTCTTGATTCAGATATAAAGAAACGATAATTTTTTTGTATACAAAGAAAGTTCAACCTCACTAATGTAATCCTCTAATGTAATCCTCTAATGTAATCACTAATGTAATCCTCTCAATTAGTTAAAGGGGAAGAAATGTTATTCCCAGTTTGTAGAGGGGGAAACTTGAGGCAGAGTCCAGGAACGTGGCTGGTGAGTTGGGAAAGCTGAGCATCCGTGCTTCTGAATTGTAATGGGCAAAAGCCCCTGGTGAACATTTAAGTGCTTATCCTTGTCCTCTACTTCCAGAGGGTTTGACTGAACAATTTGGGGAAGGACCCAGGAAACTGAACTTTTATCGTGCACCTAGGGGATTCCAAAGCACGTGGTCCACTGAGTATAGTTGTGAAACATTGTGCTATGCACTAGTTTAGTGTCAGGTATGCTTAGCAAGTGCTCTACCAAGTGCTCTAACCAAGTTATTTCACCTTTCTGAGCCTTGATTTCCTCATCTCATAAATGGCTGCAGAAAATAAAAATACCTAGGCTGCATACCAAATGATTTACGTATTTCACCTCAGTTAATCCTCCCTGTAACCCCATAAAGTTAGTTCTATGTTGTCCTTATGCTTCAGGTCTCAAACCTAGATCATTTCTACTCTCTCATTTGCATAATTGCCAGGAAGATTGGAAGTAATGCATAGCAAGTATCCAGCCCATATCCCTGATGTTGAATGAATGGCAGCAGCTGTTATAACTACTTCTGACAATACAGTCACCACTAAAATGCAGACAGTGAGCCACATAATCTCTGAGGTCCCTTCATCTTGCTCCATCATGACATGATTTCAGCACACCAAGTGTTTGCTGTGTTTAAGGGGGTTCCTAGCGAGAGTGTGGCAGTGACTGAATTCAACTGTATGAACGACCCAACTCTTCCTTTAATCAGAGATTTATTGATTTTTTTGTTTTGTTTTGTTTTGAACAAATGAGTCTATAAACAAAGACTAGAAAAATACAAAAAAACATGAACAGAACTATTGTGTTTTGATAACAGGGTAATGGAGGACCATTTTTATTTAAAACATTTCCTTTTGCACTTGTTAATATAGTTTCCATAACAAATTAACATTTGGAAAAAAAGCAAAATCTCTGATAGTCTTATGTTATCAATTTTTAATATATTTCTTAAAAATGATTTTTTAAATCATAATTGGCAACTGAAAGTCCATTATAGAAAAGGGAAAAAAAATTGCTGGGGGTATAGGTAGCTCAGTGGTAGAGCATTCACCTAGCAGGTACATGCTGTGGGTTTGATTTGTAATCCTGCAAAAAAGAAAAAGAAATAAAATTAAAATAAACTAACAAAAGAATGGCACCAGAAGCTAAAGAACTTCAGAGCTGACGGACCTGAGCCTAGTTTATACATTTATTATCCTTGGCTTATCCCAAAATATTAAAAGTAAAATATGATCCAATCTGCATCTCTTGCACAGTGTCATGTTGTTTAAATAGAAAGTTCTTGGAACAATCTGTACCATCATTGAAATACTTCATTCAATTCTTGGGCATTACATTTAATCTACTGTTCCTTCCCTGAATCATTAAACAGTACTTTCAACATCATGGCAGTCAACCAATGAGGCCTATTGCTGTATATTTTATGTGAGACTTGAAACATAAACATTTATAGTTCTGAACCTCAGTTTTCCTTGCTTCAGAAATAAGATGTGTGATGAAGAAGGAAACCCATAGACTCCATAGACCTCGCCTCCAGTACAGGAAAATAATCTAGGTGTGTTTTATTTATTATACTCTTCACTGAAATCAAAGTATGTCACAACTTTGATTTTCGTTTACTTCCTAAGTATTCTTTAACTAAAGTAATTAACTTATAAATTTATATTTTGGGTTTGGAGAAAATCATCACTGTAGAAATGAGGAGGACAGGTCGTGTCTCAGGTCCCGTCTGCATTGATGCTCACAAGAGAGTATGGGTTTGAAGGTGAATTGGCTAACAGCTTGGACCTTGGAGCCAGACTGCTAGATTCATTCTTTGTGACCTTGACCAAGTTACCTTACTCTGTGGGCCTCTGATTTCTCCTCTTCCAAATAGCGATAGCAATACTTCCTATCCCACAGAGGAACTGTGAAGATTAAATGAGTTGATATTTGCAGAAGAATATTAAGAATTTGATTTTTTTTAAAAACAGTGTCTGGCACATAGTGCTAAGTACTTGTTAAATAAATAAATGTTTCAAAGGGTAGAACAGTCATTCCATTGAAATGGAAGGATTGAAAGCAGAAGACCTTCAAGGGGTGCTTACCCTCAGAAAGCTTACATTCCAAAGCTGGGGGAAACATTTCTCGTGGGATATTTTATGACTTGTTTTTAGGTAGAAGTGGGAAATGTGAGTCTGAAAGGCCTTCCTGCTTCTGCTGTTTCTCAGATGACTCCATCTCAAAATAAATGCCAGAGTGACATATTTTGCAGTGGCATGTCTAAGCCCCTTGGTGGGGTGGGGGCTGTCCAGGCTGAGGGTGCTGGGCATGCAAAGGCTCTGAGAAAGGGAGGCCTGGAGCCAAGGTTGAATGAGTCCCTAGAGGTCATGTGTTAGACACTTAACCCTCAAGGATTGGGCCTTCAATAGGTGGTTAGGTCATCAGGGCTCTGCCCTCAGGATGGATTAATGCCCTTACTGCCGGGGTGCAGTAGTCATTGTGGGAGTGGGTTCTTGATAAATGGATGAGTTTAGCCCCCTCTCCGCTATGACTCTCTCCCTCCCTCCTCTCTCCACCACTTTCCCTTGCCTTGGAGTGTGGGATGATGGAGCATGAAAGCCCTTGCTAGATGCCAGGACCTTGATATTGGACTTCTCAGCCTCCAGAACTGTGAGAAATAAATCTCTTTGCTTTGTAACATACCCAGTCTTTGGTATTGTGTTATAGCAGCACAAAAGGGGCTCAGACACCTGGCATGGACAGCAAGAAACCAGAGTGTTGAGAACAGAGATCTCAGAGAGGGAGAGTGGGCAGATGAGAGGATGCAAGAGATATGTGTGGGGTTTTCTTCACCCCTTGAAGGTCTTCTGCTTTTATTCTGAGGACCTGGAGGATCATCAAAAGTATTTGAGTGGAGGAGTGACATAATTACTATTTTAGAACAGACTTCAGAGGAGGAAGAGCAGAAGTGGAAAGAATGGTTGGAAACTGTTATAGCAATCCAGGAAGAAGGTGATGCTTGTTTAGAGCTGGTTGAGAGCAGTAAGGGCGGTCAGAGAGGATTATGGGTCTTATATCCCTTAGGCCTCAGCATCCTGCTTGGCACATAGTAGGGACTCAATAAAGATTTGTTAAGTGAATGCATGAATGCTTGGGTCCAGTAACTTCTCTAAGGCTCTGATTCCTCACTTCTAAAGTGGGAGTGAGAATCTGCTATTTTTATTCCAATAGTTTCTACCTCCAAGGGCACATGACCCAGCTTTCCATCACTGTAACAAGTACCTGAGATAATCAACTTATATCAACTTTTAAATATTTTCTTTTGGCTCACAGTTTTGGAAGTTGCAGTTCATGGTCAATTGTCCCATTGCTTACAGGCCTCTCTGAAGGCAGCACAAATTGGCAGCCTGGCAAGAGCAAACTACTTACCTCATGGTCAGGGAGCAAAAAGAGGCAGGAAAGGACCAGGGTCCCACAATCCCCTTCTGGGGCACACCCCTGTGACCTGAAGTCCTCTTACTCAACCCCATCCCTAATACCAATTCCCAACAGAGCCAGGACGATGACCAAGCCTTTAACACATAAGACTCTGGAGGACACTTAAGATCCAAACCACAGCAAAGGGTCACTGTGGGAATTGAGTGACGTTATTTGCATAAAGTGATTAGCATAATAATTAAAACACAAGATAAACCTAAGATGAATATACACAAATAAATGCAAGACATTTTTGGAAGCGGTTACCTTCAGAGAAATGGAAAAGGTTAAACTTTTCACTTTATTCTTACACTAAGAATAAAGGAAAGAAAATGTTGGATTTATGAGTCATTTTTAGCTTCCTTTTTGTACTTTTCTACTACTTTTTGATATTTTTCTATAATGAATATGTGGGATGAAGACAGAAATGAAAGAATAAGATCACTCAGAATTTCAGGTTTTTGTAAAACATCAGAAATGTAGGACTTTTCCCCTGCTTCTTCTTGTATGGTGCATTTCACCAACTCTGAATGTGGGTATTGTCCTAATTTTTCTCTTTTCCTTCTCTTATTATTCAAGAGTAAAGTGAGCTTTTGAAGCTCTTATAAGACAAGAACCACAATCCAGTTCATCCTCATGGTTTGGAGCTCCTTTCCCTGAAAAGAACAAGCACGTCTGTTTAGTGGTTGAGTCCCTTGAGTTGAAATCATTCCTCATGAACTACATTTAATCTGTCTGAGCTGTAAGGTATCACTAAGGGAATGAGGTTCCGTGCTGGAATTTACAAATTAAATATTCAAAGATGGATTTGGAGCCAGGTGCTGGTTTGCACACCCGTAGTCCCAACTAATGGGGAGGCAGGAGGATTACAAGTTCTAGGTCAGTCCAGGCAACATAACAGGACCTTGTTGCGAAACATAAAAATAATAACAACAATGAAGACCGCTTCTGATCAGGAGTTCTTTACCACTGAGATACCGGCCTCAGTCCTTTTTTATTTAATTTTTACAATTTAGAGACAGTGTCTCACTAAATCGCTTAGAGCCTTGCTAATTTTCTGAGGCTGGCCTTGAACTTGTGATCTTCCTGCCACTACCCCTTCTGATATTTCTTAAGTGGGGGCACTGAAAGGTAAAGAGGTATGGTTGGAGGCAGAGAATAGGGCAGAGGTCACCAGGAAGCTTGTTTGTCAAACCTAATATTAGCCACATCAAGAAATAATGAAGCTAGAAGGAGCCCTAAAATGCGAGCACTCTGGATAGTATTGAGAGTCATCCCACCTGTTTTCCCCCCTTCCTTCTTAATTGCCTGTCCTAGTTGTAAGTGTGCTTTTCCTCCCACCTAACATTCAGCTGTCCTTCTGAGACTGACTGTACACTAGGGAAACTTGGGAAACTAAAAACAACAAAATATTTTGTTGTTGTTGGGCTTTATCCAAGACCTGCCAAATCTGGATCTCTTCCTGGTGGCTCCTGGTCATTGCATCTCTTTCCTCTTAAGTTTTCCAGATGGTTCTAATGTGCAGCCAGAATCGAGAGTCACGCTGATCATGAAAACTCAAGGAGCAAGCCCTGGCTTACAAGCCCTGGAGAGTGTGCTTCTCTTGGAGTTCTGGAAGAGCAGTAAGTTGTTAATAACCAAAGGAGTATAATAATATTAATCACCACCATCATAATATTATTAATATTAATAGCTAGCATTCACTGAATTTTAAATGTGTTTGCTAATTTAATTCTCAACAACACTGGGAGATAGTTGCTACTACTGTGGGTTTGTCCATTTTACAAATAAGGACTCCAAGGCACCCAAAATTTATATAGTTTGCCAAACATGTGCTCAAGCTAGGATTCAATACTCATTGCTACCACACTGTACTTCTGCCTGCAATGCTGAAATCAGAAGGGGGGTGTGACACTGCAGACAGACACACTCCTGCATTTTCTCTCTCCATATTCCAGTGGCCTGAATTTTAGCTAATATAAGAGATTTATCTGATATAAACTAACCAAGAGATTCCACCTGCTCTTTTGAAGGCAATGTAAATTACTAACCAGCATTCTGTGATTCCCTTTGGAATCTATTTTATGTAGACTATATCCACGGCTGAAGTTAGTTTCATAAGTTATGATGCTCATCAGTGAGTTTGTGATATAAGATAAAGCAGTAAGAGTTTTTCCCCCAAAGAATGGTCTTTCCGTTTGTGACAAATTATTCTTGGCAATGTAATTAGCCAGTTGGGTTATTGAAACAGATGGGAAATGTTTCTTCCAAAACTTCAGAATTGAAATGATTCTTATTCTGTCTGGTGATAAATGTCAATTAAAATAGTTCTCCCTTCGCCGGAAAAATTAGGGAAAAAATAGTTTAAGAAAACAGCAATACTGATTGCCAAGGGAAATTTGTTTTTGCACTAAAACAAGCAAAACAAATCAAATCCCTTAAAATTAAAAACAGACTGTCTTCTGAAGTTAAATTCACATCTGGAGATTTTCATAAACTTTATTGGAAAAGTTCCAGTTATCTATATTTTTAGCATAACAAAAATATTCTTATTTGTTGAATTTGATCTGAAATGTTACTTTTAGCCAGGTCCTGACACAGCTCCTACTTGACTGGAAAATATTCTGTGTTGATAAATATGCATAGATGTTGGAAATTAAGGCCATCACTAAGTGGACGCAAAAATCTCTTTGTAAATAATGTTGAATGCCTCTTATCACCGGATGGACCAATAAACAAGGAGTTGACAGTAGGAACAAAATTTTGAAATCCCTGGTGAGCACAGTGTGTTTATCAAGTCTTTTCAAAGGATGCATTTGGGTTGCATTTAAAGAATGTTACTTATACATGAAATTTTTGTCAGAGGTGTTTTTAACTATGGTGTCAGAAGACAGAAATAATAGAAGGAATTTTAAAGGACCTTATAATGACTGAGTATATACCCGTGTAAAAGCCACAGTTCAGATAATTTAAATGGTCTTTCTAATTTCAAGAAAATCTTTTGGTAACGTAGGAGCTTCTGTGCTAAATGTTGGTCGTGAATATGAGACAATATTTATTATATCACAAGTAAACTGCTTTTTTTTTTTAAGAGAAAGGCAAAAAAAACCCCACCCCAACTTACTCCTTAAATCTAAGGTTAATATATTAAAATTTTAACCTACATTGAAAACATTCACATTTATTTCACAGAAAGGAAAAACTTTCCTCCTTTATTTCTAATGCTAAATTTATATGTGTGTGAGTGTGGGGGGTGTATTTACACACACACACATACACACATACACACATACACACACATACTTGTACCAGGGATCGAACCCAGGGGGACTTAACCACTGGACCACATCCCCAGCTCTTTGTGTATTTTATTTTGAGACAGGGTCTCATTGACTTGCTTAGGGCCTCTATAAATTGCTGAGGCTGGCTTTGAACTCGTGATCCTCCTACATCAGCCTCCTGAGCTGCTGGGATGACAGGAGTGAGCCTGGCTTTTAAGTTACATTTATCAGACTTTTTTTTTTTCTTTTAAAACATGAAAAACTAGAAAACACTATCTTGAATTATTATTATTGTTGTTGTTCTTAAGTCATGAACAGTTAAGCAAGGACCAGGAGCACCTTGGAGGATTAAAAAAAAAAAATCCTGTTATCAAGAATGATTAGATTTAGCATATAGAGGCATAAATTTAGTACTCAGAATCCTGCCTGAGACATACATTTAAATTCTAGGCTTGAGAGCGAACATGTCAACTCCCTTTTGACAGAAATATCTTTGTCATAGATCTTAGGTAGTTACATTGGTGGCACCCACTCAAGATGTTGGGATTTCAGGGTGGGGAATAGAATCTCAGCAGGCTCAGCTGTACATGACCTTGAAACTGAATTTGAAATGTAAATGCTCTGTGAGTTAATTGGACATTGCATTTATACTACCTCACATCTGCTCTATCTGGGCCTGAGTGCATTAGGTTACAAAGAATTCATCTCAGCAGGACAGGAAGGGTGGCACTGGGGAGCCCAGTGATCACTGCAGGGACACTCTTTCTCAATCAGCTTACCCACCCTCCCTAGGTTGAGAGGTTAGGTGTCTGACTAGTTTCTGTCTGACATCCAGGGCAGGACTGAGTTTTTGGGTGGGGAGATGGACAGGAAAACAGAGGCATGAGGAACTTGTAGCAGATGAGTCGATCCATGAATGAGGGCCATTGGGATAGCCTCACGTACAGGACATGTGGATAAATCACATTAAAAGATTTTGCTTTCTCCCTTTCTGGTGTTCCATTGAAGATTACAATAGACTGAATGACTCTAGCAAAACAGAACTTTGAGCCAGGTTTGAAAATGGCCTATGTTTCGATCAAGGCCAGGCACCATATCAGGACCTTGATGTATTTGGCTTGCGTAGAATTAAGAGAGTTCAGAGTTTGGCGAGACAACCTGAGAAAGCGGCAAGATAATTGTCCTGGGATTCAGCATGTCAAGTGCCCTGGGAGTGACTGAGGACCAGCTGGAGCCTGTCTTCCCTCCACCCTGACCTGGAAGAATGGAAGAATGAATGGAAGAATTTCCCAAAGTGGCGGCTTGAAGCTTTCCCTATACATTTCCCCCATGATTCTTGCACCATTTTTTTCCCCCTGGATTTGGCCACATTTGCATGTACACATAAGTGGGAACACTATTAGATGAGCTGGCAAAACTGCTTGTCTGTGATTTCTTCACCTGTGCTTCTGTCACTCTTTTGTTTCCCTGTTGACTCTGGTGTTTGACCTTGGATGCAGGTTAGGGAAAGGGGTTGGTGTCACAATGAAGGACAAAAGAAGCGGTCAATTTTCTATTTATTAACCACCCTTCCCTTTTATGTCTGGGCTATTGTCTCTCTAATAGGAATTATTGGCATGTTAAGAGAAAAGAACAAAAGCTTATTGAGTGCCTACCGATTGGGAAGACTGCTACATCCACATATGCAATTTTTAAGCCACAGTCCTCCTGAACGCTAGTATAAATGCCTAGTCAATGTCCTGGAAACTGAACAATCAGATTACAATTCATGATTTTTAAAAGGTAGTTGGAAAGTGTTTCAAACCCCAGGAGTCTATACCTCCTGTGTTCAGGTTTTACATGCAATATTTTATATAATATTTGGACCTCGTCTCCATTCATCTTCACTCTTGAGTTATTGTACCCAGTGTCATCATTTAAAATAGTTAAAATAAATCTATATACTTATAATATCAGATAAATACTTTTATCCTTATTTTTTCTCTTAACCTCCAAATTCTAATATCCATCTGCCAGGTCATTATCCTCACTTGGATTTCTAATAGGCATCTCAAGCTGATCATGACCAGAAGTGAAGTTCTAATCTTCCCTCCCAAACCTGACAGTTTTTCTCATCTCAATAAATGCAAATTCTATCCTTTCAATTGCTCATTCCCTAAACTTTGGAGTTATCTTTGACTTCTCTATTTCTCATGTCCCACATTCAATCTCTCAGTATATTCTGATGCCTCTATCTTCAAAATATACTCAGAATTTCACCACTTTTCTCCATCTCTGGAGTTACCTTCGCCCTTTTACTTGGATTAAAATAACAGCTTCCTGACTTGTCTTTCTTCTTCCATCTTTGCTCCCTCTGCAGTATAATTTCATGAAGCAGCTAGAATGGCTGTCTAAAAACCTTTAAAGTCCTAAGCCAGATCACATTCCAGGTATATCCAACCTTCTGATGGCTTCTCTGGTAAGTCAAAGTCTCTGCATTGGCCTAGGAGACCCTCCGTCGTCTCCCTGCACCCTCTGCCCTTCCAACCTTGTCTTCTGCTGTGCTTTCTCCACCATGCTGCAGGCACTCTGGACTTCTCAAACCTGTTTCCCTGTTGACTCCGGTGTTTGACCCTTGGATGCAGATTGGGAGACGGGTTGGTGTCACAATAAAGGACAGTTGCGCTGTTCTTCTCATCTAGGACCTTCTTCCATCTGATACTTCTCTCACCCTTCCCTCTTTTGTATTGCTGCTGAACTGTCATCTTATCAGTGAGCATTTCCTTTGACTATACTATTAGAAATCACAAGTCCCTCACACTCCTGCCCTCCTTATTTCCTGTTCTTAACTTCTTTTTCTCTTTATCACTTAACATCTTATGGAACTCTTTAGATCTTACTTGTTCATTTCATCTCATTAGAGCAGGGCAGTAAGAGTAAAGAAAATTGAAGTTCAAATTCAGTACCTTGATCAACTTTACATAATTAGGAGGACCCAGGTCTTCTAACCCCCAATCTCCCCAGTTCATTTTGGTTTCTACTGTGAGTACAGGTACTATTCTTTTTTAATTTTTTTTAAGTTGTAGTTGGACACAATATCTTTATTTATTTTTATGTGGTGCTGAGGATCGAACCCAGTGCCTCACATGTGCCAGGCAGGTGCTCTACCAATGAGCTACAGCCCTAACCCCAGGTTCTATTCTTGAGAAAAACATTCTTGTAAGGCTTAAACATTCACATATATAGATAATCCTCAAAGCATCCTAACAAAGTACATTTCCTAGGAAGAAATATGCTTTCCAATGTTTGCCTTTTAAAGTTAAATTATAACATGCCTGTATTATAATGTTTGCATCTTAGAT